AAATGTTCCCAAACCGACTGTGTCGGTTGAAAAAGGCTTGTGAATTAAGCAAGATGAGGACTACCTTACCGCACCAACCAGTCAGTCATGACACAACTGACCTACCAATTAGTAGTGCCACTTCAAAAGCACAAATGATCCGACAAAAAGGACTCACACCCAAACCAGCAATTGTGCAATCTTTTTTTTGTAAATTTAGCATGTATCTCAACATCACACACTCGCGTCACCGAGAAAAGTGGAAATTGCAGGTGGTGAGATGTTGCTCCGCTCTTACGCCCACCTTGTCACACTCTCTTAGCGTGGCAGACTTCAAAAGGTCTTCCTTTCTGTCTGACAGAAAAGAGGAGGTTTGCCGAGGCGCCTGTTCACTCGGTTCGCCATCATACCATGCAGTTATTGGATTCGAGATTACGAAAAAAAGGCTTTGAGTAGTTCATGGTGATGCAGTAGAGTTAAAGGTCCACTTCTCATGGCAAGTCAATCAGTCATTTTACTTGATGATCTCAAGTGTGCAATAAGTTTGTGCAACCCACACGAAGGGTGATGCATCCTCTCACTTATTACCTAAAAGAACTGTGTCTTTTTACTGTCACTGCTATAAGGGAGTGCCAACTAAGAGTCATACATGACTTTCCTTTCCCTTTTTGCAATGAAGCAGTTAAGACTGACGACGCATAGTTCGATTTGACAGCACAGAGAGAGTTGAAAGCCTCGTTACTGTAGAGACGAGACGCCTTCACATGTAGATACACCTCAAAAATTCCACTTATCATACAAGTCGGAGTGAGTGTAAAAATAGTAGATTGCACAATAGGAATGACATATCGGCTCTATCATCGATGCGATGCATTTCTTTGATTCTCATTGGTTGTTTCCAAGGTCACTCGAAAAGTATTTTTGTGCAGCATCAATTCTCATAGTTTTTTTAGGCCGTGAGCCAGAAAATGTGCTTAAAAATCGTCTTTATCAAAAATGCTGCATTATAGCATCAAACACAACATAGATTACCACATGTTCAACACAGTTTCCTTGCTAAAGCGAGCTTAAAATTGGTCTTCTATATTTTTATAAGCTTCCCTAGCGCTCATTTCGAGCATTCATGGCTTTGTCATGCCTTTATTATGGGCTTGTATTTTAGCAGAGCAATCCTAATTGCATCACTTTATGGGTTTTAATGTGCTGTCAGCATTTGTGGTGGGGTTATAGAGGAGACGTAGAGATGGTTATGTTTTGGCAGGCGGCTCAACAATAACACACGCATGATTGTAGGAGCTTCCAAAAGCCAACTACAAAACTAAACAGGTTGATTATAAAGACTTGGATACATGCTTTCATGTCTTCCCTCTCGCCTTTCTAGTCAATTGACAATAACGGTCTCCGGTGTTCGTCCAAGACGCAGAGAGAGAATGTTGACCATTTCATTTCAAGGCGCCGCTCCACCTTTTTTGCTACGTCCAAGGAGGAGGCGCCACATACTAGCATTTCATTTGCTGCTACCACCGCCACCACTACCACCACTACTATTGTGGGACACAAGATGGACAGTTACTACCACAGTCATCGTAGTCTCAGTCGACGAAGATGGTTCTCTCCTGAAGGTTGGTTCGGCATTCCTCACACCACGCCAACAAATTTCACCACTGAGTTGATGTGCAAACCTTTTTATAAACGTCTTTTAGAAGTTATAAAGCGCTATGGTTCCAGTCTAAGTGAGCATGAACGCGGAGAAATCCTACACTACAAGAAGATATGGTACTTTGGATTGGGTACACAAAAAACCACCGGAAGAAATGAGCCCTACAATAATGGATTTGACAATAAGAAAGGGGAGTACAAGACAACACCACACGATCACATTGCCTATCGCTACGAGGTGATTGGCACAATTGGCAAGGGTGCGTTTGGTGAGGTGGTAGAGGCCTTTGATCATCGAAATCAACAGAGGGTGGCGCTCAAAATCATAAGAAATCGACCAAAGTAAGTTTGATTGTGTCAGCACGATTTATTCATTCCTTAAACCTGTCGATGTGCTGATTGCCCTGTTGAATATTTATCAGAATTTCTTCAATTATTGCGCAATGAAGACTTTAGTTGGAAGACAGTGTGCAAAGCTAACATAAAATGTGACGTCTCTATGCAATTTGTTTTGCTTTTTACACTCTTGCCTACGCCTTGACTGTGGGAAAAAGAGGCATTGCTACGGAGGATAGGGGCAGTAGAAATTTCGCATTTTTTGTTTAACAAGTGCGCATACTGAGGTGACAATAAAATTTAAATTTAAGCACATTTTAATACCCCTCCCGCCATTGGCACAGTAGTGCTTATTGCTCCTATTATGCCTTACGAGATACTTATCTATAAGGCTTTAAGAGTGGGGTGTGGTGATGCCACCTCCTCTGGAAGTGAAATCAACCTCCTCCTTGTTGGATAAGCTGTATCTAATCCTCATAAAAAATAGGAGATGATGCTATTTCTTGTCAAGAAAATGAAATGTGGCTCTTCAGTGTTTTTGTTAAATTGGCATTAGAGCGACGTTTCCTTTCTACATAAAAGGAATTTGGCGTGCTTTGAAGGTGAAATCTGATTGGCTACTTTAAACAACCAATCCGCTGCGCCAAATGGTTTTCATTTAACCCTCATTGACTTAACGCATCGTAAATGTCTCTAATCTGATCTTCCGGTCAAAAATCTCTCCGGAATCATTTCATACTTCACTTACGTGATGTTACAAAATGTTGGTCTCGAGATTGTCGAAACGGGATGCCGTGCAATTAGTTGGTACTCCATAAAGGCTAAAAGGCTATTCCTGCTAAGAGCATAAACGCAACATTTTCGCTTAAAACCTCTCGGTGGTCTATTGTCTACAAACGCGACTCTGAGAGAGACCTTTGTATTATGGGCAGAAAAAAACTTTCTATTTTTTTAAACAACTAATGTCTGCGTGAGAATCTCCTTGACAAATTCACTGCCAGTTACATTTCAGCATCTCCCATCTTGCATTGTGTTTACTCCTTGTGTCATTTGTTTTGCAAACAAAACGTTGTTGGTTTTGTTTAACTTACTGTATCCCTTTTCTTCTCACTGTAGTCTCCATGAACAGGCAAAGGTGGAAGTGAAGATGCTTAACATCTTGATGCGTCGCGATCCCAAGAGCAAGCATTTCACTCTCCGCATTTTTGATGATTTCACCTTCCGCAACCATCCCTGCATCGTGTGCGAGTTGATTGGGTAGGCGAGGTCATTCTCTGTTAAGTCGTTGTTTTTAAGCTTAAACCTGCTTCAAACTGTTAAGCGATCACCGAAAAGCCTTCCCATGGCAAACGACTTCACTACTTAATGTTGTAAGTCTAGTCGATTGGTGAGTGGCTTCCTTCCATCAAAAGGAAATCCAAATTTTAGCCTCGTCAGAAGCTCGTCTGCCTTGTCGAGCTAAAGTGGGTAGCTCACAATCACTGCTAGTTTTAAGAGAGTCTATTAAAAGGCATTCTTAACTGCAACATCCCCTCACAGTGCTGTCCTTCACTTTCGCTTTGTGGTGTTGCATCGAATTGAGAAGTCAACAAACAGTTTAGCGTGTCAAAAGTGGCAGTAAGAAGGCCCCACTCCGTTTCACTTCATTTACTTAAAGTGTCAAAATGGTCTGCTTCTGAACTACCGACCGTGTGACACATCTTGAAGTCAAAGATTCACTCATTTTGTACCCATGCATCTCCACCCTCTTTCAAACCTTCACCGTCATTTCCTTCTCGTTTCTTCCAAAGGGACAATCTCTTCGAAGTGCTTAAGCAGCGCGATTTCCACGGACTGCCAACAAAGGCTATTCGAAGTATAACACGATGCATTCTCAAGTGTTTGACCATCTTAAATGAGGAGTCAATCATTCACTGTGACATTAAACCGGTAGGAAGAAAGGCTTCCTTTTTTGCTACAGGAGGAACACCTCCATCTGCTTTGTTCTTTCTTGCAGACTTAATCCTCTGCCTTTTTTGTAGGAGAACATCCTTTTATTCCCAGGCGGTAAAGCACACGTAAAGCTAATTGACTTTGGATCCAGTTGTCGAGAGTCTGAGCAGAGTAAGTCCGTCCTTCATACCTTCTCTTATTGAAAATGATAAAATAAAAGCAATGCCTTAGCTTGTCAAATCACTTTGGTAAGCCACTATCACCGTTTAATGGGGGAGAGAAGGGAATGCTGTGCTAAGGGCAGCATCCAGTCCCTCCTCCTCCACCTCTCATCGTGACAGTCACTCTTTCCTCATCCAACATCAGTTCTGCGAGCGGCTTCATCGACTTTTACCAAGAATTTAGCCTGAATTTATTATGAGGGTGTCAGAGGTAATGCGGTACACCATTTGAAACCACTAAATGACGCTTTTTTTTCTTACCGCCCCCACTTCACCCATGGAGTGCTTTTTGAGGCGAATCACATGCCTTTTTGAAGTGCGATTTGATGACACTTCGGAGGCACATTTGCATGCATTCCGCAGTACCTTCGTCCCTCTGCCTCTTTTCCACTTCTAATCGGTAGTTTAAGTTTTGACAATCCCTGTTTGACATTGTGGATTGATGACAAAGTAGAGAGGAGAAGAGAAAGAATTTAAGCCGAGACCGTGCCTCATGTGTCAATTTAATTTTCCGCCTTCCTCTTGTAGGATCATTTTAAACAATTGTCTAATTGGTAAAAGTTAGGCTGCCGGCTTAGGGAAGGCTAGGAACAAAGCCAAGTTCATCGCGACCTCCTGTCATGCTCCATTGCCTCCTTACATCTCCCTTGAGGCGAGTAAAACAAGCAGTCCGTGGCCACTGCAACCCCACTTGTGTGATTCCTCCGCTCTTTAAGCCAAGAGACTTGTCATGATGTCATTGTCGAGTTTACTCTCTCTCTCTCTCTCTCTCTCTCTCTCTCGAGACTTTGCATCCACCTTTGCTGTTGCCATCAATAAGGTGGAGGCGGTTCCTACAAGCAGTTGTATTTCATGTCAACTTGGGACGGTTTTTAGCCGCTACTCACAATCGCATCGTCCTTTTAATCGCATCGCTAACCAAACCACTCCGAAAGTTCAGTCAAAAAAAGACGTCGAAAGACTTTTTACAAGCAATTTTCTTCCTTAAGGCCAATTTCTAGCAGTGGAGGACTTTCCTTGCATGCGAAAGCGAAGTCATCACTTTCTTACAAAAACAATAGCCATCATTTCTGTTGATTAAATCAGTTTGTTTCCTTTTTTATTTGCTCAAAGGAACTTTCCAGAGTGGAATTTTTATCTGAATTGCATTTTTTTTGTTTAAAACACAGTCTACAATTACATTCAATCGCGGTACTATCGAGCTCCGGAGGTGATCCTCGGACTGCGCTACTCAACCCTCATCGACATGTGGAGCCTCGGTTGTGTACTGGCGGAGCTCTACACAGGCACGATTTTTCACTTTCCTCTTTTTTAAATCCCTCAAAGTTTGTTTTTTTTGCGTTATTGTTACCTGTTGACTTCGATGGTCGAGGCTTCAGGTCTCGCACCTCTCTTATCCCATTGACTGGCCGATGAGATTGAATTGGAGTGAAATGAATTTCTTGACCACGGACACCTCTCACGCTCCACTGCCTCGTGGCCAAGAGTTAGCTCAATTGTAAGCACAAATGTAATTTGTGACAGGTGTCATCTAATCACCGTTGTTGACATCCGTGGTGTGACTTCTTGCTAGTGCATCCACTGGACGGTGATGGGGACAGCCTGACAGCCTCCATCACCAATTCCCAAGCAGTTCATAGTCCACTGTTTTGAAGTCACTTGGCACATCCGAGTGATCATTTGTGTGAAACTCCTTCAAAAATGCTAATTGGCACACTTTTATGAGACACTGAGTAGCTATCAAACTTTTTTTTCAGTTAATCGTTTACCAAACCTCTAGAAGGCCGTCTAAGAATGACTTTTTCTTGACACCCCACTTGTCAAACGCCCCAAGCATGTCATCGACACAGTCAAACTCCTCATTTTTTAAGTTGCTTAACGTTAGAATGGCTTAGAATAACCATCAAGTGGTCATTTGGATTGACAGTCCAGTTCTTGAGCCAACCAGATGCCTCTCTAGTCCTGAGAAGAGAAACCTGTTGGAGTGGAACACGACGACGACGACCTCAATGACTGCAAAGGCATTAAAAAAAACTTTCATTTACCTTTTTTCTCAATCAGGCGTTCCGCTATTCCCCGGAACGGACGAAGCCGATCAGTTGCGGTGCATAGCTCGACTGCTCGGAGAGCCGCCAGCTGAAATGCTCCAAAAATCGTCCACATTCAACAAATTAATGGGTGAGTAGTTGGTAAATTGAAGTCTTCGATAGCTTCAAAGTGCTCTGATGTGTGCTACACCCTCCCCACTGGGCCTAGCAGTCGCCTTATGCGCTTCAGAGGCTATGCAAGGAGGGCGGGAATCCTCTTCCTGGTTAATTACATGTAATTTTATGTTCCAAGTTTGCTCCCACACACCCTGAAGAGGTGTCGAGTTCAAGTCCGTGAATCCTAAAGTCGAAGGGAGGCATTCAAATTGAGCAACTCAACAAACTCAAATGGTTCTCTTCTTGTCCTTTTATTAGGGAATGAAAGGCTCTACTTGTATTGTCATCAATCCATCATTTCAACGATGCGAATCGCCTTGGAGGTTCAATCTTTTAACTTTGCTGACAAACTCTTTCCCTATAGGCCCACAAGGCGCCTTTCTCACTACCCTCTCACTTAAAGTCTGCTAGTGTGAGGTGCCTGTTGTCCGCCTCGACCGCCTCATCGCGGGTTTTACACGTGGTTACACTGAATTCCATCGTGATGGTGTTATCTTCAGAGTTTCCACAGATTGTAGCCTCTCAGAACTCTTCTTCACCAGTTGGTAAGGCGAGACTTCTGAGGTCTTGAAGTTAGCAAGACTAACAATGAATTCTCGTGGAAAGGAATGTCATCTTGAAGGGTCAAACTTCTACGACGAGGTAGAATTTAGTCAAATCACCTTCCTCACTTGAATACAAGAAAACTTTTGTCTACTACTTAACACCTCCATCAGGCCAATTTGAAGTTCATTTCTGTGGTAGTTGGAGACAGAAAAGTATTATTTTCTCCTCTTCTGCCCACCTCTCTGCTTGCATGCATTTGACAACTATCAAACGCTGATGTGTGACGAGTTGTCGCCTTCCGATGGTGCCTACACCTGTCCTACCAGCGGGAGTTTTACAAATCAGAGGAGCATTGGTACTGCAGTTAGGGCGTTGAAAGGGTGAAGAGATTGT